ACTGGTGAGTGATGATAAAATTAGAATCAAGGTTTAAAAAAAGACAAAATAATGGGCTTTTATGAAGGGAAAGTTCAGGTGGATGGGTTATGGATATACACTGGTGATAAGATTATACAAAAATGTATACTTTTTTGTTAGAATATAATTTAGAGGACAAAAGGGTGAAAACAGTGATGATTAAATGGGCACAAAATTTTGGTTATCATATAGATATAGACAATTGGACTCGAATGTGGAATGAGAACCATAGATGGCTCAAACCAGTAAATGTCTTTAAAACGTTTTATAAATGGTATTTTACACCTGTAAAACTGGCAAAAATGATGCCGGGGGCTAGTAACTCATGTGGGAAGTATTCTCAGCAACCTGGAACATTTTTTTCCATAAATGGTGGACATGCGATAAAGTAAAAGGCTTTGGGGGACAGATAACAGATATTACACAAGAAATTATACAAGAAACAGCTTTTAAACCGGAAATGTTTTTGTTGAATATAATACCAGAAATTGTTGATAAAAAAAATTAAATATATGTTCCTGCACATATTTACAGCTTTAAGGCTGATCTGGGTCCAAAAGTGGAAAAATCAGGAAAATCCAAAGAAAGAGGAACTATTAAAAAATTATTAGATATCACAGAAATGGATAGTTTGTCAGAGCATTACATGAGAACCTGAGAACATATGTTAAAGAAATCTGGAAAATATTTTATGATTTAGCACAGAACAGATATGAATAGAGAATATAATATAGGTTATGGATTCTAGTATTGTATCACAGCCATGGAGTCAAGTGTATATTAGATATTGTATGAATGCAAATACTTCCCTGTGTTTATGTTTTGTTTTGTGTTACCCCCTTTTCCCTCCCTGTTTTTGTATAGTTGTTTGTTGGTATGTTATATAATAATAAAAATGTTATTTTAAAAAAGCCTACTACCACATTAAGGTGTCCATCCAAGTAAGGAGTAGGATATTTTCTGTCAAAATTAGATCCTTTTAGTCATGGTTACTGTAAATTATTTTGCTTTGGAAATGACAAACTCACGAGAAGGGATGTGACTCTAATACTACAGTAAGATGTATCACAAGCAGTTAGGGTCTATAAGGCAAGGTCTGACCACATATTACTTAGATTTGATTGGCTTTCAGTGTAAACAATATTCACGTCTGTACTCCAACTATATGTACTGTACTGACAAAGAAGAAATTGGAAGCTTTTCTGCAAACATTCAGAAGGAAATTGATCACATATGAGAACAGTGCTGATCATAGACTGATAACGCAAATACAGAAAGCAGAACCAAATGTTGCTGAGAGGTCGGAAGCAAAACAGGAGAATGGTTCTGTGAAGCCAAGAGTTTATTACAAATACATATTTCAGGTAACCAAAGACATCACTGCACACATGGACATAAGATAATAGAATAATGAAGTTTGAAGGGACCTATAATGCTATCGAGTCCAACTTCCTCCAGTGTTGAAACACTAACCACCACTCACCATTATCAGGTGGACGGTATAGAAATCAAATAGACTTCATAATTCAAAGTGGAGAAGCTGTATACTGTGTGCCACAACATGATTAGGATTAAATTGTGGTACTGACCAGGAATTTTTAATATCAAAAAATTAGAGCTAAGCTGAAAAAGAACATCAGAAGAATCATATGATGATGAATTAGATTAGAAGAATCATAATCTAAATAAAACATCTGATGAATTTAAAAAATAAGGTATGTCTTCCATAAAAGAAATGTAAACCTGGATTCATTTTATATATGGCAGGAAAAGGAAGATCAAAAATGATATCAATTGACTCAATAAAGGAAACCACAGCCCTGAATTTGCAAGAGATGGCAATGACAGAACATTTTAGAGTTCACTGAGATGTTAATGACAGAACACTGTCATTCATTCATAGGATTCTCATAAATTAAAAGCAACGTGACAGCACATAACAACAGGAATATAGGGCATATGTTCAGTCTGCATATGCATCACAGTGACGCATTTATATAGATCTACTTCATATAAAAACAATATAATGTTATGCATGGGATTTCTCATTTTCTTCTTAACATTTCCTGCATTTGTTCAGAATGAAAGGGAAAAGGGAGAAATACAGCCAAACTTCTAAAGATACTATTATTTCTAATAGTCACCTGTAAGACTCAAGACCCCTTCATGGATTGCTGCCTTGTCGTGGCGAAGGGGCTTGAGTAACTCAGAGAAGCTATGGGCTATGCCGTGCAGGGACACCCAAGACAGACAGGACAT